AGCTTCCTATACTGTCCAAAAACGGAATTGAAGTTACTTGTGTTCTTTCTTTTCATGCAATATTCTTTTTTTTTCTTCTTAGAGTTACATGATACTTATATTTTTGTCCCATTATCTATTTAAATTTTTTTTTAAATGTAATTCATACATACAGTGGCTTAAACACAGTCTATGATGATGAACATTCATTTCTAAATTAAAATGAATTATTTTATGGGCCAAAAGTATCAGGGTGATACAATTGTCCTGATAATGTAAAACATTCTTTAAAATAATTGGTAGTTTCATAAAGTTTTTATAATTTTGTTATAATAATCTTTTATTACTTGTTTTTAGAAAAATACAAACAACAAAAATATTACAAAACTGCTTCACTGCTTATTAATATCTGAAAAAATGTACCCATCAAATTAAAGTCATAGTGTGACCAACATGCAGAAACATGCAGGAAAAAAGTGATATAATATAATATAATATATATGATCCCCACAGTCCCTCATGACTGTCAATATCCATACATCTCTCAAAATAATACATAATTTAACCTTTTCATGCAAGGCAAGAAAATAATGATCAGGTACATTCACTTGAGTAGACCTATATTGACTTGGTTATACCAGATGACACTTTTTAAAGTGATCTATGTTAAACTTTTCTTGAAAACGGTATACAAGTTTTTCAGAATTCGTTGAAACCACTGTGAATAGCACTTCTTTTTCTTTATTGTGGTCACTCTTAAATGTCAGGCATCTTAAGACTAATAATAAAGACGTATTACCCATCAAATTAAAGTCATAGTGTGACCAACATGCAGAAACATGCAGGAAAAAAGTGATATAATATAATATAATATAATATATATGATCCCCACAGTCCCTCATGACTGTCAATATCCATACATCTCTCAAAATAATACATAATTTAACCTTTTCATGCAAGGCAAGAAAATAATGATCAGGTACATTCACTTGAGTAGACCTATATTGACTTGGTTATACCAGATGACACTTTTTAAAGTGATCTATGTTAAACTTTTCTTGAAAACGGTATACAAGTTTTTCAGAATTCGTTGAAACCACTGTGAATAGCACTTCTTTTTCTTTATTGTGGTCACTCTTAAATGTCAGGCATCTTAAGACTAATAATAAAGACGTAGATTTTCAGAGATGATGCTCGTGTTGACATGCATTTGTTCTACCCAAATAAGGGCATTGCTGGTGACATCATATCTGGTAACTGATGATGTGTGCCTGGCGAGTTCAAGATGTGCTGTGACGGTGACCTCATTCTCATGAAAATCTGTAAATGACGTCTATTAGATCATTTGCATTTAGATCAAAATAACCCTTTGAAACTAATCCTTGATCAGAGTCCAAGAATGACACAGAATCAGTGTGCATACTAACAACTTCTGACTTCATCTACATTTGTGCTACTAACAAGCCAAGGCAAAAAGAGCAGCAAGGAAAAGTGATATTCAAAAAACTCATGTAGTATGATAACAATGGGGCACATAGAGAGGACCTATTTGAAGTATTTGAGTGGGTGGGTGGTCTCTCATTAGTTTTCCAGTCTTTTAGCCTCTGATAGCAGTTGCATTTGGTACAAAGGGTCATGTTTGATCAAATGGAAGTAGGGTCAGCAAGAATTAGACAGCATAGACGTTATCCAAACGTGTGTGTGTGTGTGTGTCAGGAAGAGGTGGGTGGAGGGTTCCAAAAGGAAAAAGAAAAGATGCAAAGAGTGCCAGCATGGCCCTTTTGCTGTATTTATTTTGCCTGGCTTTAGGAATGATTGCTCAAACTCGATCATGCTGATCTTCACCCACATGACCTGCTGACAATGAATGCATCTCAGCACATTCCATAAGGCTTTAACCTGGGCCCAATAAAATAAACAATATGGAGCAATACACTGTTGTTGTTAGGTCAAGAGGTCATCTCTCTCTTTCTGTCTTCTGTGTTATTAGATTCCTATGGTAATTGATATCATAGCATAGAACGCTCTGGATAACAAAGGGGAGAAGAATGCAGAAAAGACCAACACGCCACACTGTGTGAGCTAATATTTTGGAATATTTAGGGTTCCTTGGGTTAATCTGTCATGCATCATCTAGTAAATAACGGGAATGAAAAGTTGATGTAGGTTTGTTTTCATTGAGTAAACTGTGCATGTTGGGGAACTGTGTGAACTTGGAAAGGCAAATAGATTATTTCTCTGCAGTTTCCCAGTTGCAATTTTGCTTTTTCTAACCCACGTGTTGGGAAACAAGCAAAAGAAATATGCTACTCCAGATGCAAGCTAAACTGTTACATGAGGTTAATGCTACACGCACGCACGCACACACCCACACCCATGTTAGGTTTCTGTGAAGTGTGGGGACTTTCCATAGACTTCTATTACTTTTATACTGACCAAACAATATTTTCTATACCCTAACCCTAACAGAAAACCTGTTTGCATTGTTACACTTTCAACTAAACATCATTTACTATTTTTAATTAAAAAAAAATCCCCTCATGGGGACCGCAGGCCAGTCCCCACAGTGTCGAAAACTTCAGGTTTTACTATCCTTGTGGGGACATTTGGTCCCCACAATGTAGCATAAACAAGAACACACACACACACTTTATATGTATGACGAAATTATGACTTCTGAATGATAATGTGACACTGAAGAATGGAGTACTGGAGTAGCTTTGCCATCAATATAAATAACAGTTTAAAACATATTACAAATAGAAAATTTCACAATATTACTATTTTTTTAATCAAATAAAAGCAGCCTTGGTGAGTATAAGAGACTTCTTTTAAAAACGCACCTTTGATTGTGTACTAGCTCCATATCTCTAAAAATGTGAAGTACAATTACTTTTAAGTATGCTTTCAAGTGTCTTTAATGTTATATAATTTAAAATGTAAAAGATAAAAGCAAAGCAAATGTGGAAAGGGGTCAAATTAACTTCTAGGAATATTGGGTGCATTTTTGTTTCATTTGACAAGATCTTGTCTTTATAAATACATGGCTGTAATGATTGTGTTAGTGACCTTTTCTAAAGGCTTTAGATCTCTTTAAACCTCTAGATTAAATAAAGATGCTGTGATAGAAATATAAAGAGATTAAAAGAGGACTTCGAAATAGAATAACCTGACAGCTAAATACACACTGTTACTGCCATTACCTCATGTAATGACATCCAATGAAAATAAAACCTGCAAACCATTACTTTCCAGGCAGGACGTTCTTTGTATCTTGCTATGTCAACATAGGGGGGCTTCTACAATGTGCAAACCTGTTCTGAAAAAATGTCCCACCTATTTATTCATCCAGAGCACAAGCAGGAAACCATTTGAGAGCAGGTGTTTGATGGGTGTCCTGACAGGTACTAATAAATGGGTTGTAATAAAGTTGAGGTCATTTCTGACAAAGACTGGGGAAATGTTTTGATCATATGGGTATGTGTATGCCGGTTTCAAATAGGTTGCTACTTTTTTTTTAATATAGGCTACATATATTTTTCAAAATAAAGAGGTTTCTGTTCTCAGGTATGTGCACCTGATTTCACATATTAACTAAATTTAAGGAAATTTCAAACCAAATAGGCTGACTGGGAGTTTATGATGACAACACATCATTTCATGAAGGCACTATATATATATAGAGAGAGAGAGAGAGAGCGAGAGCGAGAGCGAGAGCGAGAGAGAGAGACCATACATACATTTTAGACCACTAGTGAAAATACCTTTTTTTCCTTTTACATTTTTAAACAATGTTTTGAATAATAAATTATATCCAGATATAGCATATATGGTTTCATATATATTCAAAAGGTATCACATGCTTCAATGGAAGCAAGAAATTATTCTGACCTCTTTAACTGATTTAACATGCTCAGTGTCACAAACCTGATTGTTTGATTAGTGACCTAGAAATAGAAATAAGGCAGATTCCTAAGGTTTATTCAATTTGTCACAACAATTTTAAAGGGACAGTTCACACCCACAAAAAAAATTGTCATCATTTACCCAATTTTTCCAAACCTCTATGAGCTTCTTTCTTCTGTTGAACACAAAGAAGAATATTTTGAAGAATGTTTGTAACCAAACAGTTGACGGTAACCATTGACTTTGATCATATTTTTTCCATACTGTGGAAGTCAATGGCTACCGCCAACTGTATGGTTAAAAACATTCTTCAAAATATCTTCTTCTGTGCCCAACAAAAGAAAGAAACTCATACAGGTTTAGAACAACTTGAGGGTGAGTATAAGATGACAGAAATTTTATTTTTTAGGTGAACTACACTTTAAATTTAAAAAAATAAAAGTGCCAGATTTAAATTTAGATACTCATGACGTTTTGGTAGGCATATATTGTATTGGTAACAAACTCTGACATATAATACTGTATAATGTCTTATTTATCATGTATGCAGTCATGTACAAATACACATAGTTTTATGAAAATCCATGAGGCAACATATTGTCAAATGTCAAAAGTCTCTGTGTCCAAAAACATAAATAATATATCTGTGTGATGATTTTTTCAGCGACCAAACTGGTAATAATTATTTGTTAAAGGCTTTTACTTTGAACAGATGCCATCACCCAGATTTAGGTTATAAAGAAGACTCTTCAAAAAAAAAAAAATATTAAAAAAAAGTAAGTTATGGTAATCTGAGCTTTTAAGTGTCAACTCCCATTGACAGACACTTGTGCTATTTGTGGTGCTAATTTAAAGGCACAATATATTTTATGCAGGTTTCCTGCCTTTAGGATTCTTTATCCACTAATAACACCCCGTAGCGTAATAGTTACTACTTTCAGCCTCAAATGAAAGACAAACTGTGTATATGAATAAAACGTAGCTGTTGTTTTTAGATTCCAAATATGATAGATCTAGCAGACACAGAGAAAAGTTAAGCGCTTTAGTCCCAATGACAAATCATATAGTGCATGAAAAAAGCATGACTTCCTTAAGAACAAATCACCAACAAGCTATTCATTTTATAGACTTTATTTTATACTCTCTCTATTTATAATTGATATAGATCTTTGATTGTGCATGTGGAACACTAGAAATGTGACACTTTCTTGAGGACACATTGAACACAATGACTGGGGTATGAGACTGATAAAGTAAGGCATTGCTGCGTACAGTGAGAGCTAGTCTGGGCTGGATCAGGTGAATATGGCTCTAGGATAATCAAGTGATCACAGTTGGAGCGGTGCGGCCCGTCTTTTCCTGTAACTGAGAGATCCTCAAGGCAATGTCCACCAGAGGAGCCAGCATGACCTGTTCAGCATGAACAGTTGAGACAATGTTAATAATCTTAATGAGGATAGAAATGTTACAAGTGCACTATTAGGGAACCACAAAATGAGACAAATACAATAGGGACTTTTGATTTAGACTAAATGAAAACAGACGGTCCAAATTCAGTGTTTTGTAGTAAAAATTAGAATCCTTTTGTCCTACAGTAACTCAAGCCTCAAAACTCAAGATGAAAATAACTGCTGGAACTAAAACGTCATCATAGCTCAATTCTAAGCGTGTCTGAGGTTGATTCTTTAAGACAGATTAATACACTTGTGATCCACTTTGAGCCGATCAAATTGAGTGAAATGGATCTTTAACCATATGTGCAGGGATGAGCATGTCAAAATTGATTACTGCTACATTACAACAGACTTACTTAAAAAAAAAAATCAAAAAAAAAAAAAAAAGTAAAATAAATAAATAACATTTTATGTAAAAGTATATGTGGTGGGAGAACATATTTTGACCAGTTTACCTGTGGGTCCTGATAAATTTTCTGGGGGTCTTTCTCATAGCTGTCAATGTAAAGCCTGATGGTTGCCCCAGCACTGCCTGTCCCGCTGAGACGGAAGATGATACGTGAGCCATCAGAGAAGATGATCCTCAAACCCTAAATAAGCACGAAGACAGGAAACAGGGATGATGGCCAACATACTGTGTTTTGGAAAGCATGCACAAATTTCTATGAAATTGAGAAAGGCGTTTAGACTAAACGCCTCCAAGACGGTTTGTTTGGATGGTATTTTCATGAGCTATTTCAAACACAAAGGGCATGATGAGGCTATTCTCTCAACAACAGTAATACAGATCATCCGTAATTTCATCAGAGAAATCATATCAACGAATATCTACATATCAATGTCATTTCAATATCTGATGTTTAAAAGAACGGACAATCAGCAGTCATAAAAAGGGATAAAATACATGTAAATATATTTTTAAAAATTACTATACGAGTAGAAATTTTTTATTTCAGATAAATGAATGAAAGAGAATAAAAAAATGTTGATTATAATAAGAATCACATATTAGAATGATCATGTGACACTGAAGACTGGAGTAAATTCAGCTTTGCCATCACAGGAATAAATTACATAAAGAAAGAAATTGCTCTTTAAATTAGTCTGAATACAAAATTATCACAATGTATTTTTGATCAAATATTTTTCTTTTTAGTAAATAAACAATCATAAATATTATAGAAATATATAAATCTATCTAATTCTAGATATGAACAAATGCACATCAGAACATCAACGTGACCTGAAATCTACAGGAGAGCTAATTAAAAAACTAATTAAGCAATGGGCTGACCTTATGATCATAAATAATTTATGTTTAATCATATTATGTTATATTATTATTATTATAGTTTTGTGTACACCTGACTCACCTGTCCTTTTGAAACACTGCCATCGACAGGGTCTGTGTACTCAAAGTTATCAGCCTTCTCCACTTGATATGTTTTATCCCCTGAGGAGAACTTCTGCCCTACAAAGGCTTTAGCAGACATAGTCGTCTGTAAGTGATCAATCATCTTATTCGCAGCATCTGAGTCCACCTCTTCATAGTCATACCTGAAACAGAGATTTGGGACAAAGTCTGGTGACTTCCAAAAGTCTACCAGCAGAGGACAGTCAAGCTACAGAGATCAGCATGTCACTTTATTGCGGTTACCTTGTGAAGAAGTTCCTTCCAAACTTCTGCCAGTGGTCTTTCATGATATCCTCTACGCTCTGCTTGCGAGTGGCCAGGATTGAGAGCCATGCGAGAACTGCCCACAGACCATCCTTCTCCCGGATGTGATCAGAACCTACCAAAAAACAGCACTTTAAAAAGTTGTATCATGAGAAATCAAGCTATCTTTCATATTTTGAGAGGAAAGAGCTTGACTTACTATGAAAACATAATGGAAGTGGTGGTGAAAAACACATTTCTAACTTTATTAGCTTCATAAGAGAAGAATTGTTGAATAAAGTCGTTATTTTAGTTTTCTTTGCGCACAAAGTATTCTCATAGCTTCATAAAATTACAGTTGAACCGCTGATGTCACATGGACTATTTTAACGATGTCCTAACTACCTTTCTGGGCCTTGAACGTGATAGTTGTGTTGCTGTCTATGCAGGGTCAGAGAGCTCTCGGATTTCATCAAAAATACCTTAATTTGTGTTCCGAAGATGACCGAGAACGAAGGTCTTACAGGTTTGGAACGACATGAGGTGAGTAATTACTGACAGAATTTTCATTTTTGGGTGAACTATCCCTTTAATATAAACTGTTAAAATATTTGTATGTTTTACAGATAAAAAGTACAAATGCTACAGTAAAAACATGATTAATTATGTTACCTTACGTGGTGAGAAACTGTAAACAGTTTAACATCACATTATTTGTCTTTTTTTCCCCCCCTGTAAAATACTGTAAAATTTATAGTTGTCAAAATTACTAATTATCATACAGTTTACAGTGAAAACAGTAAAAGGGCAGTCCTTTTTTAAAGTCTCTGTATGACACATCACATTTTTTTCCTTTAAAAATTTTTTTTTTTACAGTGTACAACCTCAAAATAATCAGCATCTTCAAACATTTGAGTTACTAGGCGTGTATATACTGTATGTCAAACCAAAATTTATTTAGACACCTTCAACATTTCTCACATTATATCAGTTTATTCGCTATAGCAGTGTTTCCCAACCGGGGTGCCGTCTGTCGAGAGCAGGGGTGCCGTGTAAAAAATATTTTTATTTTTCTTCTTTCACATTTTCTTCCGTCCTTTTTTAATATTTTTAAATTGCTAAAATGTTCAAAAAAAGCATCTATTATATAATATCCATTTCTGATGTAGCCAATACTTAGAGATTTCGGCTGCCAAAAATGTTCACTGCTCAGGTTTCACTTTCACGTGGTGTGACACTCTGCATATTACCCCACTCTATACGTGTGCGCTCCGCTCAGTCGCTCCACTCGTATACCGTTCATGCTCATCGGAATGGCAAAGTCCACTCAAAAATCGAGCTGACAGGAAACATGGATGTAGTACAGTATTGTTTCTGTCTGCAATAGCCCTACTGTGCTGTAACATGGTGTGGTATATGGGCAACTCTGGTAATGCTGCCCTTTCATTCACTGATCTGCTAACCGCTATGTTATGCTCACGCGTTCTGATAATAATAATAGCTTTCTAGGACTAAACATTATTTGGATAATTGGTAAAAAAAAAAAAAAAAAAGTTAAATATCTTAACCCTACTGTTAGACCTACCTGAAAAACTAAAAAGCAATTTATTTAATTTGAAGGCCTGTAGTTATTTTTTATTTGTGCTATCATTATTAATTTCTTTATTTGTTACATTTTATTACTGACTGCTTACTTTGAATAAAACATGACAAGTTTGAAATCAAGCTATCTCGTGCTACTGCGCCAAAATTACCCCACTGTAAAATAAAAATAAAAAAACACAGAGTGAGCAAAAATGTGTGAGATAGCTAGTTAAAATGGTAATTAAATAATGTTTACATATGCATAAAAGCCTACATTAAAAATCTGTCATATAAATTGGTCTCTTCATTAGAAATTAGCCTATTGATTGCCACCATTGATGGACACAATTTTTTCATAATATTAAAAATATCTGTATGACATAATATAACGTGAAGTTCTTCCCTGCTGTACCGAATATCTATACTTTTCAAATGATCATATCGAAGTTAGAAATTCAAATATTGTGACAAAATACATTTTGTAGGGTGCCACAAGTGTTAAAATTTCCAAAGGGTGTCGCGACTAAAGAAAGGTTGGAAAACACTGCGCTATAGTTTAGAAAATGGAAATAAAATATGACAAGAACTCAGAGTTCTCAACTGAAGAACTCAACTGTGTCAGAACAAATTCATCTTGATAATGTCAGATAACTATGATAGAAAGGTATGTAATGGATTACAATTAACCAAAAATTATTCAGTTGTTAAATTTAAGTACACAATTAGATAATGCCAATTTAGGCCAACCAATTACCAAGCACTACTTAATTTTGTTGATTGTGTGGTGTAAAAAGGTTGCATTAGCAATTAAAGAAAAAAAAAACACTTAAAGGGGTCCTATTATCAGGGGTGCACATAGTTTTTTCAGCCTGGTTCTTATATGAGAACCTGGAGATTTGGTTTGGTCCTCACACAGCACATGGTGTGACCCATCACTATAAAAAATACATTAATAATAGTGATAATATTATTGCACTTTTAGTTTTTTTTTTTCAATAAAATAATAAACTAAATAATAAAGTGTGATAATACTATTTTATTTTAAATTAAAAAGGGAGAATTAAACAAATACAATTATTTTATAGTAAACTTAAAAATAAAATGCTAATATTTTTTATTTGAACCCTGATTATTATTCTTTAATTTGAATTATTTTCATTTTTCATTTTCAAACTTAAAATCAGCAAGCTTTTATTTTGGCGGGTTGCTGTCACAGTTTTGCATTGTGCTTTGAAAACGTTTGCCTAGATTTATGTTTCAGTTTGAATAGAAATCTTATACAGTACAGGATCTAAAATGGTAATTGTGCATTAACAGCTGTCAACCATGGCTGCGTTTACCAAAAGCATCGTAAGGCTAAGTTGATCGTAGCTCCATAGGTGGCAATGGGTCTACGATGTACTTAGGCTTACGATGATTTTAGGAAACACAGCCCATGTCGGTACACAAACGCGCGCTCTGAACTCATTTACACAGCGCATTTCTTATTTTGGTCGCACATGCGGACCACTTATGTGCACCCCTGCCTATTATGCTTTTTCACTTTTTCAACTTTAGTCAGTCTGTAATGTTGCTGTTTGAGCATAAAAAGATCTGCAAAGTTACAAAGCTCAAAGTCCACTTCAAAGGGACATTTTTTTATTTAACAGAAGTCACTTTTCAAAAACTACAACGAACGACTCGTTTGGACTACAACGCATATTTTCCGAGATTTGTGACATCACAAAGATCGAGGAATGGGACGAGACCTGGTTGAGCTGCACTAGAGAAGGCAACGAGTGTTATCACTATGTCGGAGACACGCTAGCCTTCCCAAGGCAGATGAACTTAGAGTGATTACAATCATCCAGGTTTAAATCGCGCTCAAATTGATTTGATTTTGATGCAATATTTACACTGAAGCTCGCAGGCGGTTATGGTAAGGGGCGTGACATTTCCTGACCAGGCGCCAAGTGCTGCCAATCACAACACACACTGGCCCAGCTAACCAATCACAGCACATTTCGTATTTCAGAAGGCGGGCCTGATAACAGGAACTATTCGAGCCTTTCATGCCAGACTGGGGAGAGAGGTGTTGTAATAATATAAAATGTGAAAAATAATGTGTTTTCCGAACAACCTAGTATGAGCCTGTTCTAGTACACCCCCAAAACAAAATCAAGACTTTGTAAAAGAGCATAATAGGACCCCTTTAAGCAAAACAAGGTCAGCTCAAATTGTCTGAATATTTTTGATCCCAAATTTTACTGGTAATCCACTGTATGAATAATTGTTGGGTATGTCAGTTCACTTTATTTTGCTATCCTCACTTACATTTATGAATTATAGAGTCCTGCACCCACTAGCAAGATAATGCAAGTAAATACAAAATGCAGTTTTTTTTAAGGGAAAAATTAAGGGAAAAAAAGCTGTCCAAACCTACCTCGCCCTACGTGAAAAATGAATTGCCCCTCCTCTTAAATCATGAAAGAACTGCGCTTTTTTCACATAATAAATGAAATCATAATTTCAAAACTGCAGTTTGTATTTACTCAGGTTATCTTTGTGTAATATTAAAATTTGTTTGATGATCTGAATCTTTTAAGTGTGACAAATATGCAAACAATTAAAAAAAAACAGGAAGGGGGCAAAAAATTTTCACACCACTGTATATATATAATATATATTTTTAAGTATTTACCCACTCATTTAAATACTAAAAATAAAAGCTTTTCAGCATAAAACCTTTAAGCAGGTTAATAGCGAGTTAAAATATCCTATTTGACTGAATAACACCAATGGTTTCATAGCTACTCACCAGTACCAAAGCTTTCTTCACCACAGAGGGATAACTTGCCAGCATCCATCAAGTTTCCAAAGAATTTCCAGCCTGTGGGAGTCTCATAAAGCTGCATCTTCAAAGCTTTGGCAACACTGTATGGCAAAAACAAATAATATATTGCTCTAAAGTTTATGAGATACTATGGCGTGTGTAGTGCACACTTATTGAGATGGTTAAACATAGGGCTAAATCATAAAATATAAGTGAGCTTAGATGATCATACTTGTCCAAAGCCCCACTGGTGGGCATACTGCGAGCTAGACCCTTCACGCCAGTCTTCTGGAAATAAGGAATGGATGTAATGTTGGCACCGATGACTGCCACAGAGTCTGAGGGGTTTACAAAGAATCCATGCTTACCCAGAACCATGTTACGATCCTGCAAATAGAACAGCAAGAAGGGAAATATGACGATGAGGTTTAATTTCTTGGTTGATTTTAATTGCATAATTAAAAGCACAACTATTGTGGAAATGTTTGGAAGCAGTTTTTCAAATACTTTTATTCAGCAAGAATGCATTAAATTGATCAAAACTGACAGTAAAAATATGTATAATGTTACAAAAGATTTCAATTTAAAATAAATGCTGTTCTTTTGAACTTTCTATTCATCAAAGAATCCTGAATTTTTTGTACACACACACACACATATATATATATATATATATATATATATAAAATCAGCCTTTTTTAATGATTTCTGAAGCATTATGTGACTGGAAGGAAGACTGGATTAATGGCTACTGAATATTCAGCTTTGCCATCACATGAAAAAATACAATTTTAAAAGATATTAAAATAGAAAACAGTTATTTTAAATTGTTATAATATTTCACAATATTGCTGTTTTCACTGTTTTTTAAATTAAATAAATACAGACTTGGAGAGCAGAAGAGAATTTGTTAAAAATATATATTTTTAAATCTGCGTAACCCCTAACTTTTGAACAGCAGCGTATGTGGTTATAAACTTAAGATATAAACTTTTAGACTTACACCATCACCATCAAAAGCTGCTCCGAAGTCATATTCACCTCCCTTCATAGTGTTGACCAGGTCAGCAGCATATGTTAAGTTAGGGTCGGGATGGTGTCCCCCAAAGTCCTCAGAGGGGACACAGTTAACAGCAGAGTTAGCAGGCGAGCCAAGTTCTTCACACACAATCTTCTTTACATAGGGACCCACAACTAGTGTGAAAAACACAGAAAGAGTCAGTCTTCAGTTGCTTTACATACTGTTTATGTAACTGTTGTTTCAGAGGACTTATGCATGCTTTTGATGTTTTTAGGGGAATAAAATCCATACCTCCATGCATTGCATCAAGCCGTACATTGATATGATTGGGTCCTGAGAGCAATTCTTTCAGAGCAGCAAAATCAAAGATATCTCTCAGCATCTCTGCATAGGATTCCACTGAGTCCACAATTTCAACTGCAAAAGATACAAGACTGTTAACCATACTGTAGACACATTAATCAAATATGAACTGAAAAATGATTTTATGTAACTGGCAAATAGTAAAACTCAAAAATGGTACCAGTAAAGGGCTTGAACGTGTCAACGTCAAAGGTCTGCTTCCCAATGGCTGAGAGGTCCACCTTGAGCTCAGGGCAGATGTGATATTCCTGGAGGCTCTTGCTGATCTGAAAGATTTTGTCTGTGATGCCCTCTGGTGCAGGACCTGGGAAAGACAAACCAGACAAACTGAATTCCAGTTCAATACAGTCTTTAATCCTTCATTACTAATTACTAATTCATGCATGCATCTCTAACCTCCACTAGATATGTTGAACTTGATGCCGAAGTCTCCATTGGGGCCGCCAGGGTTATGACTGGCTGTCAGGATGATACCCCCGACGGCTTTGATTTTTCGGATCACACAGGAAACAGCAGGTGTTGACATAATCCCATTCTGACCAATGACCAGCCTGCCAATCTAAGACATCACGGACGAGACAAGTGATGATCAACTCATGATAAAAGATAAAACAACTCATGTTGAAGGGTATGTTAAGAAATACACTCATAAACCCTGAACCATAAGAGACAACAACCCTGACTTTGCCATCCAGTACAATGTTTACATCACATCAACCCTATTGATGTGTTCTTGTGACTTATAGGACACACATATACTATGGACTGTTACACAACACTGCACTCGATAGGACATGGCTAATGCATATTCATAAAGAATAAAGTCCTAGTACTTAAGATGGGAGATGCAAACACTGCGTTCTGTACAGATTTCACTCAATACAGCACTGATGCCGTGTAGACTAGGGACGTGACTGCAGGCACGCCTCCTCCACATCATGGTCGCTGCTACAAGACTGCCTGTAAAGAAATCTTCACGCCCTTACAAAACGCTCCTTCAAGTTTTTACTTTCTAAATTAAATGCGCTCTGCAACATGATGAGACGGGTTGCTGTCAATACGCAGCGGCTCCTGCTTTTGGCAGTGGGTGAAATGTCAAAGGTGTCTAAAAACAGTTCAGCTAGAAAGACCACCGAGTTCGGTTGCATCAAGTCCGAATCATTTCCGAGAATCGGTTCTTTTGAACAGGTTGATTTAAAGAATCGGAAAAAAATATTCCGCGATTATGTCACGCCGCAGAAGTTACGCCATCCATTCATCCCTGGCATAAAACAAATTTATGCTAAGTTATATATATTTTTTAATTCCGTTTCATTAACACTGGTGTTATCAAGTCAAATTTCCTGTATTTTGAATCGGACATGATCCCACAAGGTCTGGTGACTCGAGAACCGCACAGACCGATTCGAAACGCTCCTTCAAGTTTTTACTTTCTAAATTAAATGCGCTCTGCAACATGATGAGACGGGTTGCTGTCAATGCGCAGCGGCTCCTGCTTTTGGCAGTGGGTGAAATGTCAAAGGTGTCTAAAAACAGTTCAGCTAGAAAGACCACCGAGTTCGGTTGCATCAAGTCCGAATCATTTCCGCGAATCGGTTCTTTTGAACAGGTTGATTTAAAGAATCGGAAAAAAATATTCCGCGATTATGTCACGCCGCAGAAGTTACGCCATCCATTCATCCCTGGCATAAAACAAATTTATGCTAAGTTATATATTTTTTTTAATTCTGTTTCATTAACACTGGTGTTATCAAGTCAAATTTCCTGTATTTTGAATCGGACATGATCCCACAAGGTCTGGTGACTCGAGAACCGCACAGACCGATTCAGTCCGACTCGCTCGATTTGTCAATGAATGGTTCAGAAAGGTTTTGCAAACCGATTCATTGAAAAGATCCGACTTATATGAACGAGCCGTTTACGAATTGAACAATCATGAACAATGTGGACAAGATTATTCCCCAGCCAAAATTATTATGTAACGTTTATAAATGTGTATGCAATGTATTTGGAAACGCTATGCTAAGAAATTCCAAAAATGTGACAATGCAAGAGAAGCAGATGTGGGAGCCACATTTTGGATAAAAGATTGTTATACAAAAATCTCTAACAAAACTAGATAACACATAGGCTACACATTGAATGCAAAGTTTGAAAAGAAGTTTACTTTGTTGGTGAGAGATGGCGAGCAAAGGAATGTGGTTTAAATACTCCTCACATGTCATGTGACCTTTAGTGTCTTGTTCTACAGTTACAGTAGTGAAAGTCAAAGGGCAAAATAATTGACTGAAAGTTATAAATAGAAGCTCAAACCTACATGTGGAGCTAAAGGTCAGGGGCGAATAAAATTTAGGTCTGTGTGTATAACACTCTGGAATTTGGATTGTATGTTTGCCCACTAGCTTAATGCCAGACTAGTGCTTAAAACTAAATTATAGTATTTATATTGCTTATGTTAAATTGTTACATAGGAATTGTTTCATAGGAAATCAAACTGATATGACATGTAATGTGATTGGTTACCTGACATTATGGACTGGGGTGAATGTGCAAAAAATAAATAAATAAATAAATAAATTCTTCCAAACAAACCGTCCACGGAAATTATATTAAATCATTGTGTGAACTTTAAAATCATTGTTATAATTTAAATAATAAACAAGTAAATCACAAACAAACAAACAAATAACAAACAAATCTGACAATAATCACAAAAACAATTGAAAATAATTGCTTTTTTTACAATAAAAAACATTAATATATTGAATGTACTGTAATAACATTGATAATGCTTACAGAAACCGCAAAAACAAACAAACATGATAACTTTTGACAGCTATTATTAAACATGTTTACAATGGTCATTGTAGCTAAACAAATTACACAAATATTACAAATAGCACTACATTATTTCTTGACTCATAATAAGTTCCTACCGTTACTGAGGCATTTACAAACTTGGTATGATGGTCTCAACACAGTTGTAAGTCCACTCCTGTTGATCATTTAAAGCCATGACGTGCTGACATACCTGAACAGAGACCAAAAGAGGGCATAATTCTTAAAGATATTCATCATAAGTGTAAATCTGATTGTCTGTCATGTGCAACTAGCCTCGCTCTAGTTTGGTTCTTTTATTAGTTCTAATTGAGAATGGGAAACAGAGCATGAAATGCACCTCATCCCGCATCTACAGAAGAAACTGGTCTCTATTTGTGAGTGAAAATGGTGTATCTCACCATTTTAGTCCTAGCAGGAACCTCCACAGCAAACACACTCATGCCCCTGCTGCTCACACAGTTCTTGCTTTGTTCATTGTTGATGTGCACCGTCATTTTCTGATTGGACTACGGCATCGAAAGTGACAGGAAAAATAGGTGAAAAGAAAACATTACATTACGTTTTAGAACCATTCATTAACCACAATGCCATAGGAAATGTGAACACTAACATTCAAAAATTTGGGATCAGTAAAAAAAAAAGTACCTTTATTCAGGAAGTATGCATTAAATTGATAAAAAAATATTTCTATTTCACATGCTGTTCTTTTGAACTTTTTATTCATCAAAAAACACTGAAAAAAATGATCACGGTTTTTACAAAAATATTAAGCAGCACAGCCATTTTCAACATTGATATTAATAAGAAATGTTTCTTGAGCAGCAAATCATTATATTAGAATGATTTCTGAAGGATCATGTGACACTGAAGACCAGAGTAATGGATGCTGAAAATTCAGCTTTGCCATCACAGGAATAAAAGACATTTCAAAATATATAAAAAATAGAAATTAATTATTGTGCAAATTGTAACAATATTTCACAATATTACAGTTTTTACTGTATTTTTGATCAAATAAACGCAGCCTTAGTGAGCACGAGAGTCTTCTTTAAAAACATTTTACAAATCGTACCGACCCCAAACATTAGTGTATATTTCAGATCATTATTTCCTCTGACTATGGCAAAATCTCAAGTCCTATTAGCAGATCTAATTCCCTTCTATCTGTTGGAATGGTCTTTCAGCTGACTTTGCCTATATAATGGCAAATCAGGACATTGAAATTCTACTCATGGCCAGGGTTCCTTTCTATAAAGCATTCCAGTTACTTTGTTTTATTCCCGGTGAATGTTAAGTACCAGAGGTGCTAAAGTGAGGCCTACACAGGCATTTTTGAAAGAGTTGGCTTTTTAAACTCTTTTTAACAGCTAAGTGACATAAAACAATAATCAACATACCTTATTGGCAACGACTGATGAAATTCTGCTCTCTCCTTTGTATGTATAAATCAAGACATTCTCATGACCTTTGAGAGATCTGGCCTCTGCTTTTGACGTGATAGACCTCTGTACAGCAGAATTCAACATCTTGATCCCAGAATCCAAATGAACTGCCTGAAGAGTTGCCTTGGCATCCTCACAGTAGACTTCAATGACAAACGGACAGGCCTGGTAGAAAAAAGAAATAATGTACACAGAAATTAGCTCAGCATGTTCTGATTACACTGGCTACAAGTTAGCTACACAAAAAATTATTCCATTTAGAAATAAAGGACATGTTCCCTAAACCCTTGCAAAAACATCTTCAGTTTTTTATTAGTTGGAATTATAAGTTAGTCTCAAAGACCTTTGTACCTCCACCATCTCCAAACTGTGGTTGTAGCCCATGGCCTCCAGGGTGAGCCACAAATCTCTGGGGTCTCCCTCACGATCATTCGCTTCCATCAGGTTGAGCTCCAGGAAGCCTTGTCTAGTTAACTCATTGTTCTTTGTGTCAAAATTCTCTATAGGAGAGCAAATACGGTTATAGAAATGCATATTATTAGACTAGATTGGATATTACTTGTTCAAGATCTGGAAGCAACATTTTTATACAAATTTTTAAAAAATAAAATATTATTGAAGACTTTATCACAACAACCAAAGACATTTACTTGTCAATAATGATTCAATTGCATCAAAAATATGTTCAAATACACCATTTAATGTCAAAGAACTGTATATAAGCACAAATGTATAAATAAATAAGCTTTTTTTCACAAAATCTGTCATTTAAATCTTAATTTTTGTATTAAATGTATTTTCATGTCATACATGTGAAAATCGGTTGTGAATTGAACAAATAGTTAAAACTTGGCAAGAGGAAGATAGGAATTAGCATCCCAAAATTAGTAAGAAACAAGTATTGGATTTCATTTAACAAATGCGATGTGTCGGTTTCATTTACAGTGTGTTTGTATAAGGACCTTTGCAGATGGCCCAGGCATCCTCATCACATTTCTCTCCACTGGTTCTCTGTTCAAAGAAGTTGTACTCCTCTAGGCTCAGCAGACCACTGCCATCCAAATCAATCACTTCAAAGATGTCAGACAATGCCGCCCTGTGGAACAAAACAGTACAGCATCTTTGCATAAATTCAGTATAATGTCAGATACCTAAAATAACCTAAATTCAGTAATCAAACATTTATTCAGCCCTCCACCCTAACTCATTGTACATTTGTTAACATTAGAATTGACTAACTTGAACTCTTTGGTTAGCTCCAGCTCTCCAGACTGGGTGCGGTTGACTAGC